ATTTTCGAGAGAATGCATTCGTTAATTGCTGCAGCCTGATCATTTTTGGGTGTCTAAATGACCCGCTCACACACCCAAGAATTCTGCTGGTGTGGTATTTAGCGGAGCCATCCCAGAGGTGCGAGCAATATTCCACGCAGGACCGCACTTGTGTTTTGTACAACAAGCACAGTTTGACTATCCGTTATGTTTTAGGACAGGTACTTATGAGTGTTTTAAATAAATACATTTGGTTTCCACAAAATAACTTTATTTTATACTGGCGATACTTGATAAGAGTTATAAATAAATCTCGTCACTCCCGCAGTAAACCGTTGTCGTATTCAGCGAGCTTTGTTTACCTTGAATATTTAAATGTCTGATGGTAAAGGACAATGGGCAAAATTGTATGGACACTGCACCCACGTCCGCCACGGCTTAAACTACATTTGTTTGAAAGGTATCATAGTCATGATCATTTGTGCCAAAGCGCATCAAATTCCATCCCGGGAGTCTTTAGTTATTTTAAGTTAAATAGGTACAATTCCATAGGTAAAAGTAACTATAGCGAACATAATATTTAAAGATAAGGACGAGTATATAGAACGGATATATTAATTGACGACCACGGAGGTATATTAAAAATATTTTCAAAAGGAACATTTCTGACGGGAGATCTACCGTTTTAAAATTAAAATAAGAAGTTTGTGATATAAAAAGGTAAGTTTTCACAAAATTTCGTGACACAAAAAGTTATTTTTTGGGAGATAACAACAAAAAACCAACAATTCAGTTACTTAGATTTTTATCATTACCTACAACTTTGCCATTTTTTTTTGATGAGAGTTGTTTGTTGAATTCCCGAAAATCGCAATAAACCATTTCCCCCTTAAAAGTCCCCCCCCCAACCTTCCCGACCCCAAATCGCTTGAAACTTATTTTTCCCCTTTTTATGCGTTCTCTTCATTTTGAAATGGGTTTCATGCTGTTATGATATTTACCAAACTATCGGCCGAAAGAAAGTCTGCAGTGTGCCGGACTTTTATTCATCACTAAAAACACTAATATAACAATCATAAGGAAAAAATATGAAATATAAGATTGTTCTGAACCAACCTACGAACTAAAAAGTCAAAATAAATAAAATTTCAAAAACTATCAGATTACAGTATAGGAAATACGAAAAACTCATCACGAAGAGAAAACAACAATTCGTCGAGTTCATGAAAATTTAATTGCAAAGAGCCATTGTGTTACGTCATACGCCCGCGCAAAGTACTAGGCTGACATAAACCCGTGAAGTAAACGTGGACAACGCATTGCGTACTAGGGTGGGATCTGCGAGATCGGCTCTACAGGGCTCCACCCACTGTTCGGGAACCCTTATTTTATTTTTTTCGTTTTATTCTTCCGTAAGAGAGTATCGGTTTCCTTTAAGTGCTTCTATACGTGTATTATTTTGTTTGTGAACCTCGAACAAATAACTTAGCAGCAGCTTCTTAACTATTATAATTGTTATGAATCAGGTAGACTTGTTTTTTTTTTATCAAATATATGTACGCACAATCCTTTCGAAAGTCTGCGCCGAATTGAAAAAAACAAAATAAAATGTATTCTTTTTGGAATCGGTATAGGATGTTTTAGTATTAAAATCTGAACGCTCCATTGCTCTTTAACATAATGCACCCCAGCGGCAGGATAGCAGGGTCTTCTAGTATTATATATTTTAATTATCAATTGTTTTGTCTTGAATAATTTAATGCCAAAGCTACATTACTTGTATTTATATCAGTTATGAAGAATTCTGATTCCTTGTATCCCATAAACGGTCAGTAATAAAAATTGTTACATTAATCTCATGAATTCAATGACCTTATATTGCATGGATCTAATATTATTACTAAACGCGCCTACGATGCTCCAAGGGCTTTGACCACTGGTAAAACCTTTGGAATTCTGGCATCAAATACTAAGGATCATTGGCACACAGTAATACGTAATAATTATTTGGCTGCCACATAATAAATGGACCCAGAAAGGCGCTTTAATTCCAGCTGGATACCCGCTGTGCCCTAACATACATATTATAATTTTTTTTCTTTAATATCCAAGAACAATACCATTTTAATAACTTTTATGGCTCGCGCAGACGTAGGAACTTTGTTCGCCGTTGACAAAAATTCTTTTTCTTCACGATTCGTGAAGAAAAAGTCCGTCGAGGACTTGTCTCGGTCTCAGCTCACATGAAGAGCGAACATTTGTCCCCAAATTTTTAAAAAAGGACATGTTGTCAAATTACTTTGTGTTGTAATTAACAGGTTAAGGATAAGGTAACAGTTTTAAAAGAGAATAGTAGGTCCATTTCTTTACTTTAAATGGGATTGAGCGCGCAACGCAGACTAAGGTCCATATTATAGAAAGATTCTCAGTGATTGATCTAGTCTTGAGCATAGTTAGAAAGGGATGTCGCTATATATAGCACATAGCGACATCCCTTTCTAACTGTACTCAAGTAAAGATCAACACTTAGTTGTCGTTCAGTAATACGGGCCTTAATGTTGTTGTGAGCGTTGCTGCCCTGGTAACATGAGTTGTATTTTTTTCGGGATTTTTTTTACTTTAATAGAGATTTGATACTTTAATTCCGTCTTGTGCGTTACTATCATGATACGATACGATGCATTTTGTAAGTGATCTAGTTTGGCGGACATTAAGTACCTGCGCAGGCTAATAATGTCAAAGTCTGCATAATAACTTACATGTAGTTGTACTTCTAAAGGCTCCTTTATTTGGACTTGATGTACGCATCAACGCTACCACCTCCACAATAATTAATTGCTAAAGATACGTACATAGCGGTATTCTGCTCATAATTACCGGACCATAAACTGGAACATCCGGACGGCCAATTAACGCCGTGAAAGGTCAGATTGACGAGTCTCCTGGATACTCTCCTTTATAGGAAAGATTTATTAAGGAGCACCACTCTTTCTCTCTTGGGATTACTGCCGGTAAGTAATAAGGCGACTTTTAGCGAGAAGTTTATTAGATGCAATTAGACGACTTAATGGACGCTGTAGGTAAGTACATTTTTACACATACTCGTATAAGCACGATACCTGTCTCTGTTTACACAATACAATACACAATACTTTATTGAAAACACCACAACATTGAACAGAAATGAGGGAAATGACAATTGTAAAAAAAAGAGTGCTTCAATGGGCGGTCTTATCGCTAAAAGCGATTTCTACCAGACATCTTTTGGATGGAGAGCATTGAAAGAAAAAGTATTATAAGAAGTTTGTTGGTACAGATAGTGCAAAATATTCTTCGTAGCGGTTTATTTTCGAAAGGTATAACGTGAATTGCACCACAGAGCTAGTTAAAGTTAAATTTTACTATGAATTTAACATGACACGCCATTTAAAGTAAGTTGGTGCGACTCATGCTTAGTCACGAAAAAGAAATTGTTCTTAATTATGTATCTTTGAACATCTGGTGATAGTAGGATTTACTCGTAATTCGTAATTATCACGCTAAACATAATTTTCATATAATGAGAAGGGACGTCTCAATTTTGTATCACTAGTTCGAGAAAATTAACCCTTTCGCTATTCATGAGATACTGAGATCACGGGTGGGTACCGGGCTTCAAGGCTCAGGTCCCATTTAAAAAGCCCCACAGATAAACTGTTGCGTGCGACGACAGTGACGCGCGAGATAAATCTGCAGCCTACCCGGCCCCTCGCCGCACGGGGTATTAGTCCCGGGGTAGTAGCCAGCATCCTTTGTTGCAAAAAGGAACCCCTTCAACTCTATGCGGTCCTAGTACTTTTATTGCATAATCATGGCATCTTCTTATTTTTGCAGCACCGGTCTGTTAAGGGCGCCTGATTAATATTTCCCGCGAGTTTTGAATTTTATTTTAAAGTTTTTTTTTTCATTCATAATATAATCTGCAACTTGTGGCAGTGATTATTGAAGAGACTTAATGTCTTATTAATAGTAACATCTGAGGTTATTTTCCTAAATTTCATTAGGAATGTAGTCTTGATAGGGTTTCTGCAAAAGCCTTGGCTTTTTCTAGTGAAGAACTTGTCTATCGTTCATTCACTTTGAATGGAGGTTTACTGATTGAGTTCTGTGGTAATGTTTTGTGATAATGCTGAAAATGAAAAATATGTAAAGATTTTAAAAATTAATGTTAGTGTCTCTGTTTTTCTTTATTTGGATGTAGAGAATGTAACAAACCTGATGAGTGCCATAAAATACAATGAACGATGTGGCGCCTTTTTTTGTTGACCCGATTTGAAACCTAATAAGAGGTAACATATTTATTTCACTTTTTATGAAAAAAATATATGCGTAATTTTATAATTTTGATTGCTCATAGCTTCATGATTAATATATTTCAAATAAAACAAGTATTATAGGCTCATATTCAGTAATATTTTAGAAAATATAACAAAATTATCAATGTTTATGGCAATAATCTGGACATTTTTTGCAACAACTTTCACACATTAAAAAAAAATGTAGTTAAGATTTTGGCTCAGTGGTCGGAGTCGTGACGGATACACTTACAATTCACCGATCAAGTGCAAGACGCTGGTGCTGCAAGATATATCCTATTAACTTTAACACGTTATTACTTGCGAGTGTTGACTCGCTGTTTGCTTGCTAGCCTGACACACTGGTTGTGTTTATAGTTTATAGGATGTAATGCAAGAGATGGCATTTGTTATAAAGTTAATTAGAATTACTGGGGATACCTTTTATTAAAATCATACAAAGTATTTTCAATAATAAGGTTGTTAAAATTATGTAATGTATGTATTTTGTTGGTGTACCATAATAAAATAAAAATATTAAAAATATTAAGGTGAAAGCAGGGAAAGTCGGAAAAATCACCTTATACTTTTACTATCCAATACAATTAATTTTGAACAGAGACACTATTGAAGTTGTTTTTCTGTTTCTCAAGATTACAAGACCCTCTTTCCTTCATTAAGGGGGTTAAAGGGATGTATTGCGCTGGCGGAAAAATCAAATTGCCTCAACTTGATGCACCATCAGAGCCATTGAAAACTTTACTTGCTGGATCTACCGTTGAATCGAAGCATTTCTTATCGAACATCAGGAAATATAACTCTAGCTTCCAAATGACGTCATTTGGTGCGGAAATCATGACTGCTCTATTCATGCCAACTTTTAAAATCAAAAGGCAAATATATCACAAAGCTGGCTCCCTGCTCCCGTTCTCAGATAGTGACCATAAATTCCTCCAAATGTACTTCATTGGTGATGATAGAGATGAAGTAGATGCACGTTGTGGAATACATACCTCGCTAAGAAGATCCATTATTTCGCAGCTGCAGGAGCTTCTTCACGAAAGGAACAATTTAGTGCGTTTGTTCAAAACAGCAATTGATATGATGCCATCAGATACCCACAAAATTATTATTCACGCAGACAAAACCCCCGCTGGAGAACATGTCCGGAGATATAATGCTCCAACTATAGACGAAGTAGCAATTGTCATAGTCGGAGATCAGTTCCAACCTAGAGATATTGTTCACCATCGAAGAAATAATCAATTAATAAACGTAGCAGAAACTCACCGTTGATCTTTACAATTGTGTGGTTTAGATTTAGATGTGGATTGCTTTTCACATGGACAACTGTATGTTGCGTGTTCCCGAGTCAGCAAACCAGATAGTCTTTATATCTACGCAGACAGTGGAAAAACAAAAAATATTGTATTAATATCCACAAGTATTGCAAAATTAAACTTATATGAAATGTATTCTTTGTTTTGTTTTCCATTTCTCAACCATTCAATCACAATGTGCCACTGCGAAGCGTGGCAGGGTACAGCTAGTTTATTATATTTATTATAAACAAAGTGACGACGATAGCAGATGAGAAATTTCTGGAATCGCACAATGAAATTAAAACGTGACAGAACACCACTCATTAATTTGGCAGCTACACGCTTTTATATATATTTGCATAGGAAAAATCTTACATCAGTCCCTATTATTATATATATTCTGACATACTTTAATATACCTTAATTTTAACATCATATCTGCCAAAATTATTTCACGTAACTAATTAATAGTAAGCTCTGGTCTTAAATAATTTATATACAGTTTCAGATCCATAGGCACTCGTTTGTGAAATAAGCTTCTTACCACATTCTGTTCGCCTACTAGCTATATGAATTTATAATATCCCTTGGGAGACTGTCTTGTCGCGTCCCAATCCCAAATGATCCCCTACAAGTTGCTCTCGGGCATAGGAGAGGAACGGACGGCTAAACATTTGACGACCTCCTATGAAATTCTAATCTCCTAGTGTTTGCGTTTACGTTTTAACTCTTTCACAAACTTCTAATGGGAATGTTTTACAAAAAGGTATATTTTTTTTTTAATATTTATTTCTTTCAGAAGAGACATAAGTAGTCTCCTTCTCTTTCTTTCGTTTAATTAATTTGTGAGGGGTCGTGAACAAAGCAGTATCTAAACTGGTGATACCAGAACTACAAAACTACAAAGGAGTTAGTTGGCTATTTAGAATGCACCATCCATAGAAGGGTCTTTCACAACGAAACCCCAATACAATTTGCCTACTGTTATGTGAAAATTTCAAATAAAAGAAAAAAAATATTCACGCCAGGCTCGACACGTTCGTTCGTTTTCGAAGTTTTGGAAGATTTTAAAACGTTGTTATATTAACAGATAACAATATTAATTTACGTCTCGGCATTCTTGTGAAGCGGAATGGTTAAAACTGTGGACTGTTTTTTAAATTGACTCAACGAATAAGTAAATAATATATATTTATATTTGACCAGTTGATATCAATATGCTAAGAAAGCAGGAATAAACAATAAATCACAAAGTTATAAAAGTCATAGAAAAACAAAGAAAGTATAGAAAACCTTATAATAAGGAGGCTAGTAAAGGATGAGCTGAAGCTGTAAAACTGCATCAACAGAGCACCGAAGGTTTTCTATCAGTAGAGAACAAAGAGAAACAGAGTTACCGCCATGGGCAATACGCAAAGAAGGCACGCATCGCGTCCCAATCTGCTGACTTATATTCGTATCGTCACACTCGCTTTGTGCCTCTAGGACTATCATCAGAGGCGAGCAGATCGACACGGATATCACGACTGTTACAAACTTACTCAAAGAAAAAATATCAATTTGTTTCTCAAAAACAGTGATGTTCACACACTTAATACAAGAAACAAAAATGAATTAACTTTAGTTTACCTGTTATTAGGCTTCACAAAATTAATAATTCATTTAAAGGTCTTTGTGTTCGCTTATACAATAAAGTCCCAAGCAATATTCAAGAGTTAACCATAAATTAATTTAAAGATAGTATAAAAAAAACACAAACAAAAAGTTTATTACAAAGTGTCTGATTAAATTACAGACAAAAATGCTTGGGTTTGAACTGTTCCAATCATTCCAACATGTTTTCTATATTAAAAAAATCATAATTGTATTGACGTTGTAACAACATAATGATTTGTAAATGTTGTTACATTAGACTTTTAATGCTGTGGAGATTTTTTCGCTCGTTTTTCTCCGCAGCTAAAAAAAAGGGTTGTACTATACATCCAATTTGAATAAAGATATATTGATTTCTGATTTCTGAAAGACTCAAGTCTGTTTCTAGGTAACGTAACTACCAACACATTTTCCCCCAATGGCGCTGGCAATTTTCGCACACCAACGGAACGCAGTACGTCTGCCTGGCGTCGGACTCTGGCAAGATGTTGGTCGCAAGCCAGGCAGCCTGTCGCAGAGCCTACCATCGATTGTGCGGTTTTTGGCTGTCATCGCAGCCTATATTACCCCGTGAAGCCGTTGCCTAGGGTGGGCCGCTAGGAGGTGGATACCAACCACACTTAAAAAAAAAAAATTAAAAATGTATCATATTCAATCGCGTGATGTTTTCTTTGTTAGGGTTAAATTGAGCCGGATTAGTTTCGTACCGTGTTTGGAAATGCCCCGGAGCGGGCCGCAACCAGCCATGCCTGCTCGGTCGAGCGGACTTCAGGAATCTCATTATGTCGGTCCTACCAACAATGTTTCTAGTCAACTATTTATACCTTACCACAAGTTAGTTGTATGGTGTTTCAATTCACACTAACTTTGTGTTAAAGAGTTATCTTAATCGTTTATTACAATCATTAAAAAACGAGTGTGCATATGACCACACGACTGAAGTGAAACTTCTTTAGCTCCATATATAAATATATACATGTATGTACAAATACATATTTTATTTACTAGCTATAAGAGAAAGAGAGAAAGAAAATGTGCGCGTGCACTGTTTTCTCTTGCTTATATCCCCCACTCAACTCCCGTTCGCCTCGCCCGAACACACTTTTCGTAACGCATTCGCCAGCCTACCCCCCAAGTCAAGCGTGCATAAAGAAGTTTCACTTCAAAAATAGACTCCGATTATCACTCTATTTATTGTTGTTAATAAGTTATATAACTACAAGTTAGGTTAAGTTAAGTTATATTAAGTTTAAGCTAGATTCGGAAAATGGAGTTTTATTACTGGCTGGAACCGCAGCAAGATCACGCATATAATAACGGTCGTTCCAATTAATAAAATAGGTAAAAAAACGCAGTTCGTGGCGCATTTCGATAACGCTTTGGTATTATGAATCAAATTAATTTTAGGTAAGCGTAAGGGTTTTAAGGGTTAAAGTTTATCTGTAGGTCCAGAAGGTGAAGCGCTCCCGGGGTAGACTGCACGAAGGGTAGTCTGCGCACATTGGGCAGCCCAAACACGCCGGGGTAGGTTGACGTGTTGGGATAAGCAGAGGCTTGGTCTGGACAGCTTTTGTCCTTTTCCTATTTCTGGGGTAACGCATTTCTAGGGTAAAATTGCATCATTCCTGGGTATATAACCCAGTTGTAAATAAATCAAGTTTCAACGGTTTAAATGCACCGATTTATTTATCTATTGTCGTTTCGCATAATTAAATATTATTTAGACGACGCATACTGCGGATGGATGCGAAATGCCAATAAATAAATAAATCAGTACATCTATACCGTTGAAATTTTTTTTTTATTCAATGAGTGGTGTGCGTGAAAATCTGAGAAACAAATAACTGAATTTGTACTTTATGAATTATTTTAATGCATATTGATTCCTGGCGAGCAAAACTTGACATATTCTCAAAGAAATGTAGTATTTTATAATTAGTTAATAATTAAGTAAGGATTGATAAAAGTCTTGACAAAGATGTTATGTTACTAAATAATTCATGATATTCATATGTGATTACTAGGAAAAAAAACCTGTTTTGTACAAATACAAATATACAAATACAAGTGCTTTATTTCCATACCTTATTATTATTACATTATATATAAGTAGGTATTAAATATGAATTGGAAAAAGGAGAAGGCACAGCGCAGCTGGTTTTAAGCCTACCCATCGTCAAATTTTTGTGGTTAGTTATACTATTTAAATTCAATTATTTATTAATAGCCAATTAAATGTCAAATATATTAATTGCAATGTCAATTCATTTAGATGTCATTCAAAGCTTAGTCAATTCAATGTCACGTTATATTTAAAATGTTATATTTTTTTTACTAGTCAATTACAATTTATATTATTCTTACACACAATGAATGTTAAATATATCAATTACAATGTCAATTTTTTACTTGTCACTTAATTACAATTTATATAATTCTTACCCACAGTAAATAATAATATGTAATCCAGGTAAATTAATTAATTTAGTACATCTACAATTTATGACTCACATTACTCACCAATAAATAGTTTGCGAGTTTAGCGTATTTAACTTTGCTCTCATAGGGACAGACAATATTTTCAAATTGCTTTTGATTACTATATACTGTTAACATTGTTATAAATAAAGTATAATCATTGTTTAGCAAATATAAAAATCGTGACGGTCGTTTTATAGAAGGCCGCCACATGACCGGTAAAATACAAAATTTTGTAAATTGATGTAAATAAGGGTCCTTTCTGCTCCGCCTGTAATTAACGAAGCTCCATTAGGAATCCACTGTATGAAATCACTCTTTAAAACTTGAAAGGATTAAATAACCTACCAAAAAAAGCAGACGTAAAACGCACACTTACGTATCTAAAGTGTAAAAAAAACTTGTTTTATTAAGATGCCTACAAACTTTTAATAGTATTGGTATGTCACAAAATGGACAGGACGGCGTAAGACGAGCCGGTGAAAGATGTTGGATGGAGGCCTTTTGTCCTTTTCCAACTGCATAATAAAATTATTACCTGATATTTTTCTTTAAAGGATCGGAATTCTTATATCAATTGATAATGTAATGCTACATGCTAAAGATGGACGAAAAAAGTAAATAAAATTTCACTTTAAAATAACTTACCCATTATAACTTCTCCACATTCACTCTTCTTTCTAATAAAAAAAAACTGAGTTAGTAATAATAATTATTGTTATTGAAAAGAAGGATATGAGGAGCTCGATGGCGCCAGTGGTTAGCGCAATCGGCGGCTGCTATCGTTAAGTTAAGCAACTTTCGCAGTGGTCGGTCGTTGGATGGGTGACCAAATATTTACTATCTCGAGTTCCTCCGTTGATCCTGGTCGCATCTGAAGTCGTTAGCACCTACCAACCCGCACTGGGCTCGCGTGGTGGGTAATGGCCCAATCTCCCTATTCTATTTCTTATGGATAGAATATGCGCCCGATAGGGCCTGCGCCCCAGCAGTGGGGACATAAATAGGCTGGTGATGTGATGTGACTGAAAAGAATATTTCTGAACACTCCGTAATTTTTGCACAACGTAAAACATATTTTTTTACTTGTTTTACACATTTGATTGG